TCGAATTGGATATGTTAATAACTATCTATAGAATACACGGTGAATTGCGAAACAAACTGCCGACGAAATCTCCACACTTTTCCTTGATGTTTCGGAAGAGAATGATATGATTAAGGCGCAGTTCTAGCCAGTGCGACAAAACTAAAGCCACTTAACAGTATTTTATGTGGTAATGTTTATGGGTTTGTACAGCATTGCTCGAAATTTTAAAAAGTGTTTTGATCAAAGACCATCAAACCTGAGTGTGTGACCATTCAAATGAAAGCTACAAGTACTGAGCAGTACCTTCATGTGGTGCTATTATGCTGGTGGTTCTAACTTTTAAGTCTGTGGGTGAAACCCTAGTGTGTGACCATTGAGCAGTACTTTCATGTGGTACTGTTTATTATGCTGTACAAGGTGGTTCTAACTTGTAAGTCTGTGGATGAAACCCTAGTGTGTGACGATTCAAATGAAAGCTACTGAGCGGTACTTTCATGCAGAAACTTCATGTGATACCGGCTTTTTGTTTCTTTTTCTGAACAATGCCAAAACTTTTAATTTAATTTTGACTGAGCTTGACAACATTGAAAACTGTTTACCTAATGGAAGTTCCAAATATAGCATTTTGTCAGTTGACGGTTTCCATCCACTCCAGGCCTTCGACGCCAAGCCCATTAAGACTTTCCTTTCGACTAGTCAATTGCCATTCTTTTTAAAGAAAATGCGTGCTTGTCGCTTCATTGACATTTGCAAGTTGCGGGGTTTAAAATTTGAGCCCTGACAGTCGAAAAAAAAAAAAAAAAGATTGTTATGGGTGATATTTCAGAGATCTTTGTGACCACCTTGAATTATTTTACTTTGTTCCCCGGGCGAAACTGATGCTATCGAAGAGGTAAATTTAAAACAAAACTACTTTCTGAATTTACTTTCTGAGAGATATCTTTATACGAATTCTGCAATATATATGTCAGTTTTTCATGATCACTTTTGAAACCAGCAGAAGGAGCGGATGTTTCAAGTATATACGAATATATATGCAAATTAAGTACTTTTGTTTTGTTCGGGAAGTCTCAGGCGTGACAATATAGACTTTGTCTTATGGATGGCATATTAAATAACATTGAGAGCTAGGTCTCATTTGGCGAATCAACAAATCGAAAGAAAACCGCAAGAAAATAGTGAGTCACCAAACAACATCTTTAGTCTTTGACGTCGGCTGAGGCAACACAACTGTGCGTGGATAATTTTCAAATACGGTAAGTCGAAGTCGTGAGGCATGTAGCATATGTAATGAGATGAAATTTTCCTCGCTGAGAAGTTGATATTGGTCGTTTAATTATTGAATTTTACTTAACAAATAAATGTCTTAACAAATAAATGTCTTGACCAACAAACGCTTTCATCCACTAGTACCAAAGTGACGGCAGGGAGATACTGGTGTGAGAGTCGCCGCAAGAAAACCTATGATTATTTGCAAATGGACCCCCCAGAAATGTCTCCTTTTCAATTTAGTAATATTTACCCTGTGTCAAGGTTGTTGTGCACCTGTCGAAAGTACAGTTGTGATCGATGACAATATATCTTTCAAAAATATCAATGCTTTGTTAAGCAGACTAATGATGACAGAACACAATATACTATCGCGGCTAGATGCGCCACTAAGCTCTCTGAATTGACATTCAAATAAATCATTAAATGCATGGTACCCTTAAAAGAGTTAATATTTAAAATTTTAGACTGAAAGGTTATTAAGTTATCTTCTAACAATTCTTTAGATAAATATCGTTTTTAGAAACTTTTATGTGATGGCCTACAGTGCATTTACATGTACAAAG